TTATAAAGCTATTTTGGGCTCCGCTGTCCAGCAGTGCACGGACGCTTTGTTCGTTCCCGCGCGAATCCTTAACCAAAATACGCGCCGTACCCAGTAACACGGTTGAAGGAGGTTGTGCTCCCATATTTGCCAATGAGCACAGAGCGACATCACCAGGTCGACCGCTAGAATCGTTGACCTTATTAGGGGTGAATTCCTTGTCCGCTTTACTTGACGCCGCTATGTTGCTATTTTCAAAATGTAATAGCGTGTGATGTTTCCTGGCGCACTTGCTACATACGGAACTCGAATTGCATTTTGCAACTAAATGCTTATCGCTTAAGCAGTTCAAACATAGGTTGTTTGTCTTTACTAATTTATAACGTTCGCTTGGTGAATATTTACGAAAAGTCGCACAATTATATAAATTACCGTGTTTATCTTTACATACGATACAAGTATGCTGAAGTGATGTTGACGTCGCGGTTATGTAAGTTAACGACCCTGCTATTTTAGATGGTTGAGTCTGTCTACGGTCGACGCACCTTTTAATCTCCTGTTTAACGTTCGGAGAGCGCTGCATCACCTTTATTTGATCTCGCACGAACGATGCTAATGAATGAAAGGAAGGCATCTCCGAGCTACGATGCTCCATTTCAAACGCACGCACGGTGTCGGGGTCTAATTTCTTTAGTGCAATATGGAGAAACACCACGTCCATAAGGTCATTAAAATTTAAATTCTTAAGTGCAGCCACCGATGCCACATTTTTATCTAGAAACTGCTCTAAGCCGTTGATGTTCGCGGATGATATAGGTTTAAGATCGAATATCTGGTTCAAATATTCGGAAGCTAACATTCTCCTATCTTCATATTTAGTTTTAAGCGTTTCGAATATTAATAAGTAATTGTTTGCTGTAGGTGTAAAACCCGAGCAGATCGACTGTGCCCTGCCACTAAGTTTACTAATTAAGTAATATAATTTTTCAGCGTCCGATAACGATGGGTATATTGTTTTGAAAACTACTGAAGAAGAAGGGCCACGTCTTAATATCACCATTGAATACCGGAATATCTATTGGCGGCAACCTAATTGAGTCACGAGGACGTACCTGTAATTCCGGCTTTGCTTCGCTTTGAGATTGTAGGAGTTTTGCCGTTCTTTTCACGCGACACAACATATCTTCGAATGCCAGCAGCGGTTGGTAGTTCACTACGTATTTCGGGTCGATTTGTAGTTCCAAATGATTAATTTGGTCTAATATTCTTTCGTAATCCGTCCGCAAAGAATCCACCGTTTCAATTTCATTCAGAAAAGTTTCCCGTACCGCTTCTACATTAATGTTCTTTATATGATCGCTAATGTTTTGTATACGTGAAAAAAGTACGTCCCTCTTGGCATAAAGCGTTTTAATTTTAAATTCACTTCCACTAACTGCCATTTTAAATTATTATAGTGAAGTTATATTAATCACAATTAATCTCACACGCATAAACGATGGACGATGGACACTCGGTATGCCGTATTACGTAATTAAATCGAACACCTGTTACAGTCGAGGCGACGCGTTGCTTGCTAACTCAATGTTTTTTATCAAGATTGTCGGGTAAGCGTACCAAACGGTTGCTATCACACTGTTTCAATTTTAAGCGACTAATAAGCTTTAAATTGAAACCAATTACAAACACTATTTAAATGAATAATTCTGTTTGCGAGTACCTAACCAAAATTTAAATTCAAACGAACACTATTTAAGACTATTCCATAAACTAGAGTGCATTATCTAAATAATTAATCTAATAATTCGACCAGAAAATGGTTGGATGACCACTAAACACCAGTGCAAATCCTGCCGAAGTGACCATAAAATGGTGGAGCCACGTGTCTAAGGCTGCCGAAGTCTAGTTCTCCGGTCGAACCTTAAACCTGTTACGCGAGATATTAATCTAAGTGGACTGTATCTACTAATGCTTCTACACTTATATATGCGGTACAATGCACTCGCTCTTACCTAAAAACGAACTATTATTTGCCAAATCGATGAAAGGAATCCTGCTTGATTAGGAAAACACAAAATTGGAGCGGGTTAAAGCAATTATATCAAGCACGTTATAATATTGGATATTGACTCACCGGGATGTTTCTTCTATGCGGTCGAGCACTATAACTGCGACTTCTGGAACACTCCGGAGAGAGGCGGTGCGCGACTATATCTCACACGAGGTGAGGCGGGCTTCCTGGAGCTCGACTGCTTCTAGGCTAAAGCGGTTTCTACTAGCGATGTGGTTTCAACGACGAGCGCGGCGGGAAGAGGCTGCGCGTCGGTCGCGCGTGTCTTATATATCCTCGGTTCCGATGATTACGTGACATTCTAGAATCATCTTCTTTCCCCTCCCACCCCACCACCCCGATGTGTCGATAGGAGGATATGAATGATATCGTTTTGGAATGGGATAACTGATTTGGCAGCCTACCGTCAAATTAAATAAATACGAATGGTTTTCCGCGCAACCAGTAACAAACATTATTAACCTCATTATACATATATTATTAAATTACACACAGAGAAGAAACTTGAGTATACTTTAATGTATTACGTTTTACAAGAGAAGATCACTGACGATCTCGTTAAAAGTACGCCCGTAAGCTTGTCTTTGTAGTATTCATAGCTATACCTACATATTCAATATAAATATTTATACACATGTAATATAAACTAATTTATTATAATTGTTATTATTAAAAGATCACGTAAAAGCGCTTACAAATAGAATCTGTATTTTACCGACATCAACAAAACATAAGTAGGTACAAAAGTTGTAAGGATCAAAATCAGTAAATACCACTTAACTTACCGCTCTAATTTCGCCACATTTCTTTTCCATTTATTTTTATCACTAAGTCTTTTTCTTGCTCTAATTTGTTGGACAACTATTGGTGATTTATCCATTGTTGGAATTTATGCACTTTGACCATAAAATTTGCACGTTTACTATTTAAATTATTTACTTTTATTTAATATGCACCTTCACCAATCGACTCTTACACCGGCTCACGCCATACTGTTTTGATATATCACGGTGGCATCTGATTGGCCGAATTAACAATGCTGATTTTGAAATAACTGGGTTAGGACTTTGCTGATTTTGATTCAACCATTATATTTTGACCTTTAATTTCTATTGGACAAAGTTACTTTTGATCGACCAACTAAACACTAACCTGTATTATAAAATATGGAGTTACTAGACGTATAAAAATGGTGCTACTTGAAAAAAGTGGACTATGCGATTTTTGAAACTATACCCCTCATATAAATCATTTAACAAAATCCACTACACATCTATATGTAATGATTATTATTCATCACAAACTGATTTAGTTATTAGAAAAAATATTTTCGTTAATATATATAATTTGTGTAGTAAATTATATTTTTTTTTTTAAATAGATTACTTTTCACTTTTGAACTATGGCCACACTCGGTATTGGACGATAATATTCGCAAAGTACGAGTTTTAATGATAAAATTACTTTAATATTATTGTTACGAGCTTGAGGTTCGTGACAATAAAAATTGCCGATAAAATTACCTAAATTAACACTTCAATTTACTTTACACAAATTAAAACTTAAAACACTAATAATTAAACACACTAATTCACTTTATTCCGCTCCGAAGCTTCGCTAGTCTCGCCAAATCCAATACTGCCTCGATAGCATCTTGCAGCGCCTATATATACAAATTAGCAATGAAGCATCCGGAATATTCAAGTAAATGCGCGCAAAGCGACGAGTGTTCGAGTGTAGATTTTCTAGAAACTTAGATGGCTTAAGATCGCTCGCTGTCGGTAAAGATTTGTGATGTCATTTTCTGCAAAGCTTCGCTCCCCTCGCTCTCGTTCCTGACACTAGATAGCGCTAGTGCATGACGTTGAGCGCGTAACATTATGTTAAAAATACTCACAGATGAAAATTCACATTGTCTTTTTGTATACTTGACGTTTTTGATTGTTTTTTTCATGTAAATACACTGCAATCCGGCATTTTGTCGGAGCTTGATTTACTGGCACGATCACTTCTAAATGACTCACGACACGGAGCAACTAGTTTTATATAACGAGTATGTGTCGGACTCTCGTACCTTTTACAGAGTGGTATACCTTGCGATGCCGTCTCCTTTGGTTTAATACTCAAATATTTTAAAGAACTTTTCCAATTTTTTTATTGCACAGACTTTCACCATATTTTTTTTTACAATAATTATTTTATTTGATTTCTAAATATTTGTTTTCAAAATCACTATCAACGTATTTTACGGCGATTTATTATACCCTCTGAGCGCTGTTGTGGAGAGTTTTTGAACTGTTATTTACCGCCCTCCTTACCTCTATACTCCATGTAATGATGGGGAAGTATATAGAGTAGCGTAAGGGAAGTATTTTAACAGTTATTCTTTTAAATACTTCCCTTACTTTCTACTCTATGTACGTTTACTTGCCATTGGCAAAAATACCATAATACGAGACCATTGCCAAAGTAAAAAAAAAAATTAAAATAAGGAATCTCAACAATCAAAATAACAAATCGAAATCAATTTTGTTTTTGGGTTTGTGCATGAGTTTAAAATAGCTGATCAGTGTTCAAAATCGATTAGCGACAATAAAGCACGTTCCATGGTATCTAAAACCATAATATCTCCGCCATAAATATACGCATTAATTATAATATTAGTGATTTAATTTTTGTAAAAATATTACACTTTTTTTTGTTTTTTATTGTTTCACAATTTTAATGTCGAAGAGTTGAAGTCTATTATAGAGTTGATTGTTTTGTGCTTAAGTAATGTAAAAACAGTTATTGAATGAAAATGCGATGGAACGAATCAGTTACATTAAAATTTGTAAAAATATATATGAAACACGAATGCCTATGGAACCCTACACACTCAGGGTACAAAGTAAAATACCAAAGAGATAAGGCTTATGCTGATATTTGTTCTGAATTTAAACAAGCAAGTATGAAAAATTTAAGTATTCCCGAAGTTAAAATTAAAATTAAAAACTTGAGAACAACTTATTTACAACAAGTGCAAAAAATACTCCAGAAGTCAAGTCCTGATAGCATTTATGAACCCTCTTTAATTTGGTTTCATGAAATGGATCGATGTATGAAACATGTTCCCACAAACCGAAATTCTCTATATAATAATGTAAGTTACAATCTGGCATACTCAATCATTGATAATAATTTTTATATTATATCCAAGTATAAGACTAAGCAAGGAAGCCGAGTATCCAGCCTAAAGTATAGAATTTACATAATAAAAATTCCATAACTCAAATCCTAAATAGATATACCCTTATATTATATCTAGTATTTGCAAGAAATTAATAAAAAAATAAGAAATTGAAATAATCTTGCTCCATAACAAAATCAATCATTCATTTTTTTATAGAATATGAGTGAAAAACAAGCACCCTTCCACTTGATGGTAAGTGGGTGCTGTGGCTCATAGACATACATTTATCGTCGATTAACCACTCAATCCCAATTAAAAGCCCATGCGTAGCAAATCCTGCACCTACCCGCAGCACTTAAAACTATTAAAACTTATATTTAGAGACCACTTTTTTATGAAAAAGTTTAGCATTATAAAATCGATACAAAATTCTCTATATAAAAGTCAGCTTTCACTTCATTACAAAAAGAATATTGTATTTTGATAACAAAAACAAAACATATCAAGTTAATGCCAACAGCGTGAAAATCACAATTATTTCAATATATATTACTCGAAATTATTTATGTTAAAAGATAAATTATATTCACACAAAAACTTTCATTACGATTTTGTTATAAAACACCATACTAAAACCAACTAATAAAACGCTAGAAAAATCGAAAAATCAACACAATAACATTTAGGCGAAAATGGCGTACGAAATTAACATAGATTATAAATAAATATCCATAGGATAACTTGACTTTTTATTGCATTACAGGATAGAAAATTTCATATTGATTCTATAATGCCAAACTCATTCATAGAAAAGTAATCTCTAAATATGAGTTTTAATGGTTCAAAGTGCTGTGGGTGTGCGCGGTCGAAACCGACCTCTTGGATTTTGATGGAATAGCACCTATCAGATCCGATTCAGGTCCGATTGAGAGGTTAGGAATCAAAATGCAGATGGGTTGTTGAGTTACTGAGATGGATGCATCATGCGACAGTGTAGTTCTTTTTATGCTTAACAAAAATGTAGAAATTAAGTGTAACAAATTGTAAACAATCCTACCCTAGTAAATTCACTCAAGGAGCAACAGAATAGGTCAATGTCTTCAGCCATTCTATTAAGAATGCATAACATTCGCGTTAAAGGTGTTTTATCTAGTAAATTGGTTCGGGTCGGCACATATGAAACAGCAGCACTAAGCTGGTATTCTGTGAGATTTTGGTCCTACCTCCAGTCGAGCCAACGCAATTGTGCTACAACCTTAATATGGCTGCAACGTGGCTCTACCACATAAAATTATTTGTTATGTGACAAATACTTTGAACAAAGATTTACAAAAAAGTAATTTGGTTGGTATAGGCTGATTCGGACCTAGGCCTTCTAGACACTATTGTACTAATGATCAGTGCATCAAGCTAATTTGTATATTGACTGTGATGAAACTCGTGATATACCATATGCTTCACCTTATCTCTCAATATAGTGTCTTAAATTATTTTTATTTGGGTTTTTCGCTGTGAAGTGGCTGTGTAAGAATATTGACTACTACATATTATCCTGTGGGTGTCATAAGAGGCAATAGAGGGAAATAAGCCAGTAGATGGGCAATAGCATCTTCCTAATAACAACTAAAAAAACTACAGTTGCGAATCTATCTTCTAATAATAGCAATTATGGGAAATATACCCCCTATGAGGTAACACATGAGGAAGGTCTATGTTCAGATGTACTGCAGCAGGTTTTTCACAAGGATAAACCATATTTTTCCCTCTAAAATCAAATTTCTTATGTCCTTAATTTTTTATTTTTTTTAGACCCAAGAAACATCTGAAGTTGATTCATCATGCCAAATTTGGGTAGATCAAGAGCTTGAAAATAGGAACATTGAAGAAACATATCCTGATCCTCTAAATGCCCAAACTGATACTGAATATGACTCCTCAAAACCTGATGATTCCATCTCATATATAAAAGTTGAAAAAGACCGCACACCACCTACCTATAAAAAATTAAAAAAGAAGAAAATAAAGCACCGGGTTTCTGAACAAGATTACTCCACAGATTCAACTACAGAATCGGTTGCTATGGAGGATGAATTTGATATTTATGGGAAATATATTGCTGCACAACTGAGGAAAATGAATTTACATAAAGCTTTGAGACTTCAGTTGGAGATTCAAAGCTTAGTGAGTGAAGCAAGGATTTCAGATATAACCAGTGACTAAACTATATACAATTATATTAAAAAAATCTGTCTATGCAATAGAATAGAGTAAAACAATTTTTATTGTATATCATATACATAATAATATAGATTACATGAATATTTATTGAAAGTCATCTAAGATTTACCACTGGTCCAGAAAAAAACCTCTGTCCTGGGAAGAACCAGCAAAAAACCCAGCGGGACTTTAAAAAAAGCATATTTTACAATATAATATTTTGTTGCAATGTGCAGTACAATCTAAATTTTGTGTTGAAGTATAGTCAAATGTATGTATTAATAATAAAGCAATAAATGTTACATGATTAATTATTAATAATAATCAAGTTTTAACCAACAAGTGGATGAATCAATACAAGCCAAAAGCTATTTTTTTAAACAAGAAACAACCAAGGAGTCTTACTATTTGATATTTGGGAAATGGAAAGTGATAGATATTTTAATGGGATGTCCTTCAGACCAAATTTCGATGATGGCGACCAGTCTCAACGGGAACTAGCTATATGCCCTAGACAAGATAAAAATACAAAAATGTCCGCACCGGTGGACTCTATTCCCTCTTTTTCATAATACAATGGGACGGCAATCTGATGTGACTGGGGAGTGATTATGCCCAAGACCAACCATTAGACTACCATTAGTCTTGCTTTTTGAGGCATGGGGGTCCAACTTCCTGACTCAGGACTGCTAATATACCAGTACTTTCTTGATGATTTAATGACCGATAGCTTCTTGACGTGAAACCGTTGATTTTAGGGATCCAAAAGCGACCTCCTGGGATATCTACAATAGTCTAAGGAGGAATTTGGAAACGTTTCCTAAAAGCATCAAAACAATAAAAGGTTTGGGTAAGCTACGGAGACAGTAACTGTAGGTATTTGTGAAGCCTTCAAGGACAGTTGTCCCGTCAAAACCAAGACTTCAACACGAAAAGTTCCTTGGTGGAATACTAGGCTTAAAAGAACTTAGGGAAAAGACCAGGAAACTATTAAATAGAGCTTAGAAAATTAAAAAATGGGATATTTATAGTGCAGCTCTAACTGAATATAATAAAGAAATTAGGAAAGCCAAGAGAGCATCGTGGAGGAAGCTATGCGAGGAAGTTGAGTATTTGCCTCGCAGTGCAAGACTACACAAAATACTACCGAAAGCTAAACCTAATTAGATCGGGCTTCTTAAAAAGACTGATGGTAACTTCACTAATAGTGAAACATAAACATTGGAGTTACTATCGTCAACCCATTTCCCAGGGTCACACAAGACTCCAGACTTAAATTCTTTCGGAGTCCTACAAAGGCCTTGTAATGAGGACTGGTGTAGGGCTGCAAAGATAATTAGGCCAAACCTGGTGCAGTGGGCTGTTGACTCCTTTAAACCATTTGAAACAAGCGGGGAGGATGGAATAATTCCCATCCAACTGCAGAGGGGTATCGACATCCTTCTTTCCTATCTGGTGAAAATGTTCAGAGCAAGTTTTGCATGGGGATATATTCTAGAACGATGGACAATTGTCTAAGTTCTATTCATACCTGAGGCTGGTAGAAAGGACTATGCTTTACCAAAGTCCTTTGGACCTATAAGCCTATCTTCCTTTCTCCTTAAACATTGAAAAAGGTTATAGATAGATAGATATATAAGGGATGTAGCTCTAGCTACGAGGCCTATACATTACAACCAGCATGCTTACCGCAGAGGCAAATCTATGGAAACAGCCCTGATCGGTGTCATTGACAGGGTTGAAAAAGCATTGGAGGATAAAGAAATAGCTCTTTGTGCCCTTCTAGATATTTAGGGCGCCTTCGACAGTAGCCCCACATTACTGCTGATTGGGGACCTGACACCTGAAAAATGTTGACCCCACAACCATCAGATGGGTGAAGTCGATGCTCTCAAACAGTTCAAATCAGTTTCAAACTTCGATTGAGGTTGCAACTACAAGAGACTGTCCACAAGGAGGTGTTTTGTCACACCTTCTTTGGACTCTTGCGGTTGACCAACTATTGTACAAAATGGTAGACCTATGCATTGACACATTAGGTTGTGCTGATGACCTTGTGATCATTGCGAGGGGCTTTTGCCAAAGTACTTTATCGTCAATAATACAAAGAGCCCTAAATACCGTAAATAACTGGTGTAGGGATAACAGTTTATCAGTTAAAGCTGATAAAACTGTTATGATACCCTTTATCAAAAAGAGACAGTGGGACAAATTAGTCCCACCAAAAATTAATGGTAAAGAAGTATGCCATAAGGCAAAAATTGTTTTGGGTACATGCAGTCGTTTGGTCGGGAACAACTGGGGCTTGCATCCCAGTATAGTCCTATGGCTGTACAGCAGCATAGTGAGGCCAATTCTCACCTACGCCTCTATTCTCTGGTGTATCAAAGCCAACCAAAAGACGACTGCGGACAGAATAAATAGTCCACAAAGGACTGCCTGCTTAATAGCAACTGGAGCTATGCGATCATCGTCTGGAGCGGCTCTTAATGCAGTTCTATGCCTAACTATCCTTGATCTTTATCTAGAGAAGGAGGCGAGGGCTAGTTTGTATAGGATTAACGCCCACGGCGGTCTGAGCCTGCTCTCCTACAGATTGAGATCCATGCTCGACTCAATTAAGGAAACACCGGTCTTATGCATGATCTCAGATATCATGCGTCCACTACACACTTTTGATAAAAAGTATATAGTGGAATTTACCCTCCAGAGAAAACTGGCTGAATGGTCAGGTTATCTGTGAGGTCGGTAGCCTTATATGGTATACCGATGGGTCTAAAATGGGCCTCGACGAAGGCTTCGGAATTTACGGGGAACGCCCGAAATTTATTTATTTAACTTCATATACACATTAGATGTATATAGGCGGACTTAATGCCTGAGGCATTATATACCAGTCTACCTTAGAGTAGTGCAGAGATAAAAGAGGTAGGTGTAATAAGAAGTATGTACAGCATTGAAATAATACTAATTTTTACGGAATTTATCGCGTATATTTAACTTTTTTACCCGACGGTTCGAGAGCTTTACAGCACCCATGGTCACGGGAAGGACTGAGATGTTCAACGTCCAGCTGTCATAGTTAACCGCGGTTACCATAGATTAAAATTTAACTTTTGTTCCGATCTACACAGTATGAACTTATGGTATCATGGAGTCTTGCAGTTGTATGCTTGGGTTGGGATTTAATTTTATTTATTATAGGATCCCAAGCAGATGGTAGCACCCAGCCATCTTCTCTATTGAAATTAGGATGTTTTTTGATTTCAATAGCCTCGCGAATCATCCTTGGAAGGAATCGGTGTCCTTTAGCGAGGATTTGTGGTCTATCAAATCTGATGTAGTGACGGGGGCGATCCTGTACATGTTCAAGGAAGTCTGCAGTCTGTGAGGTAAGTCATTTATATATACAAGAAACAGAAAGGGACCGAGAATTGAGCCCTGAGGTACGCCCATTTGTACAATCGACCCGGAAGAACTCATACCATTAATGACAACTTTTTGCGTTCTGTCGCTTAAATATGAAATAATTTAAGAGCATCGCTTCTTACACCGTAGTGCTGAAGTTTCCTGATTAATGTTTCATGGTGAACACAATCGATAGCTTTTGATAGGTCACAGAATACACCCAAAGCATACTGTGAATTCTCCCATGCATTAAATATATATTTAATCAGCTCAACACCAGCATCAGTTGTTTGAGCGACCCCTTGTGAAACAAAATTGATTTTTATGAAGTAAATTATTTACATTAAAAAAAATTAACATTTGATCAAGAATAATTTTTTCAAAAATTTTACTAAGTGTTGGCAGTACAGAAATAGGTCTAAAATTAGCGGGATCCAATGTACTACCAGATTTTAAAAAAGGTATTACTTTACTATGCTTCATTAAATCAGGAAACACCAGATTCGATACTAGTATTAAAAATAATAGTTGAGGTGCGGTTGTATCTGTGATAGACGCAATAACTTTAACAGAAATCCCCCACAGATCGGCGGTTCCCTTAATATCAATAGTCTTAAAATATTTTACAATATATTTTGATGACACTTTATGAAATGTAAAATTCTTTGTACTCACATTTACATTTTCTTTAAGTAATGATTCCGCTACGGCAGGAAAAGAATTCAGTGACTTAGTGGTTAAGATCGGAATATCAGTAAAATATTTCTCAAAAACCATTACAACGTCCTGATCTGATTTAGTTAATTTATTGTTAAAACTTAACTGGTAGTTTGAATTGCGAGAGTTGACCTTACCACTTTCACTATTAATTATACTCCATGTCATTTTAATTTTATTAGAAGCAGTCTTTATTTTGTTGCTCAAATACAATGACTTGGCTAAGGAGCAAACTCTTTTAAATATTTTGGAATATTTTTTACATATTCCCTAAATTCGATGTTAGGATTATATGACCTTTCATTGTAAAGTTCATATAACCTTTGTCTACTCCTAAGGACTCCTACTGTCGCCCATTCATTAAATACATTGCGATTATTCAAGGAGAATGTTTTAGAAGTAAAAGTATTATTAAATTCATTGCAAATAAGCTTAAATAATGTTCCATTCAAAAAATCTGGATTATTTTGGTATAAAAGTAATGGAATTTTTTTACTATGTTACTTCTAAACTTCTCCAAGCGATGTGCATTTACTGGAACAAACACTACTTTTTTATATACTTGCTTTTTGTGAACATAAGGTGATGAAAGTAATTGTCCACAGTGATCAGAGCTCAATTTTTGAATTATACATTTATTGAACGCGGCGAGCTATCGCGAGTGTACCAAAGCGCCACGTAGGTTGCAGAACAGAGGAGCAATCCGACGCGGGCGAGCGGCCAACTCCAGTAGGTCGCGGCCACGGCATTCTGCCCCATCAGTCACACCAACCTCGGTACATCAACCCGCGCCCGCTCAGGCTACAACCAAACCCGCCCCAGTCAAAGGGACTTCTGGGCAAAGCCTTCAGCACCTAAAGCCAACGCATGGGTTAAGC